CTTATTTAGGTGAAAAGTAGTGGGAATTTAGACCAGATGAAGTAAACCATTTCATCATCCACTCTTAAAATATCCGATGAGCAGATACACTGCTGAAGCTGGAGAAAACTSTTAGCATAAAAGGGTTATATACGCTCTTAATATGTATGCCATCTATAYTTACTTCAGATAGCGAAATTAACCACAATCCATCATTAGAAAAAATATTTCTTTAGCTCTTGACATAATATAAACTTATCATACAGTTTACCAACCATTGAAACTAATGATCTTTCTTTACTGCAAGAAACTTAATACTGGACTCTCCGAAATACCTCAACCAACTGGACAAATGAGTTTTAATTCGGAATCTAATACCAAAATTAATGACGTCAATATTTGGTGTTATTCGGCCTTTGCTCAATTAAACCGAACTGAAATCGGGTTGGAACTGTAAATTTGGTTGTGTATAACTGTGCCGGTTGTTGTTGAATTTGTTGTAAATTTGGTTGTGTGCATTGATAAATAGCAATCAGATGATGAACTTTAATCATCAGAAAAAATACACAAGGAAGTACACCCAACTCGTTTTTACACGGTAGATACATACGTCCCTCAGTATCCTATAGTAATTTGGGGGATACGTTCCATGCCATTTGAAAACCATGTAAGATTAAAAAAAGTTGAAAACTATGAAATTTTAGATATGCATAAAAATTTTATGTTCATATGACATTTTATTTAGCATTACAACTTAAAATACATAATTCATACAGGTGAAAAATTGGTAGAGCAAGCCAAAAACATACATATGGACACGGATTCGTTTCGATACTTCAAAGATCTAACCCTGTTTACGTCGGTAAATGAAAAATAGTTTTTTTTTTTCGCTAGAGCAATGTCTAGCAGCTGAGTTGCTCTATATCCTCCTGGTCCGTGCTGGCATTAAGTCCAAACCGGGCTTGCAGGAATTTTTTTACTGCATATAAATTAAAAGTCTCCATCCGAATTGCAACGCTGTTGCGTGAAATACATGCATTGCATGGAGTCATCTTAAGAGCTGTCAGGCCTTACAACGCACTGTCTATTCCGTGTAATAGACCGACCACAGTGATAGACTACTTACTGCTAAATTCCTGCCCAATCCACGAAAAAAAATCATTTTGATGGTCGCGTCTCCGTGCGTGAGGTATCTTAGCCGACAATTTATATTCCGCCCTCCGACGAACAGGTAAAAGATACGTGTTACCTGCCTGACGGCTACACGTAACGCCAAACAACAACAACAAACCACTTRCTTTCACCAAAGAGGGGTTCATTATGTCATTAAAACACTATATGAGCCTATCTGGAAAACACCACGACTACAGCACTTAGTGTCATAATCGCTCAGAWAGCTTATGACCTTAATTAAAATGCGCAGAGGACCGACATAGCAGCCTTGACTTTGTCAAAAGCTTTCGACACTCTCAATCACATAACGCAACTGGGAAATATTATAAAGGCCAACATCCTGAAATTCCTTTAGRGTTGAAAAGAAGGAATATGAATTACTTGAGCGATTGTAAATAATCCGTAYTATTTTGACTTCAAAATGCTAAGCGGAGAATAATTAAGAAGGAGATTCCGTAGGGTGATGCCCTCTCTCCGCTACTATTTAATTGCTATTGACGTCGGGCACCGAAATCGATGCCGTGGGCAAGTTGTCTAAAACTCACCCCTATTAAATTCATAGCGACTCTATTCACCAACGAGACGAAGGCATATAGTATAGACCTCAACACTGTTTTGATGAAGTTAAAATTCCGAAAGTGAACAACGTCAAAATTTCGGCCTTTAAGTTGGTTGGCATCGAAGTCATATAACAAAAGGATCAGGAATCGTGCTGTTTTCAGGGAAATTACCGGTAAAGAGAGGGTTGTAAGATGAGGCGTCTCCTCTTAAAGTAGACGACTGCAGAGATAATTTCTGTGAAGAAATATCACAGAAACTGCTTGGTGAGGAGCGCATTATGTTCC